ATATATATATATATATATATATATATATATATAATGTACATCAAAACCTAATCGGCTAATTCCAATTCCCAGTTTTCTATTGAGAATTGCGATGACTCAAAATCTTGTCATTAGCGACCTAAACAGCATAAAACTAAGTAGAACAGTGTAATGACAAGTACAAGTTGAGACATAAAAAAGTAGGGATTCAAACAAATCTTAATTAGGTAACTGATGAATAATAATCAAGTAGAAAACTGGCTGTTTGACATAAGCAAAACACACTCCTTGCAACCCGTCCATGTGGACGTGACTCAGACAGCACGTTATTGCATGCAACCCTGATTAAATCACAGTATTTGTATATAATAAATATAATACAAGCGTGAAGGATCCATCGCATGTCTTCATCATACAAATCAAATTATCGTTTGGCGCAGATGTATTCAGTTTGTTTAGCATAGAAGGCCGAAAAATTGTAATGGAGCCTTGGCCATGTGGTTATAATAATTTCTTATTTTTTGGGACAAATTTAATATTATAGACTGATATGGGTTGGTAACTTGGTAGGCAACAATCTAGGCATATTTGTCATTCCAACAGAAGTAGGGGTATTATTGTAATTTTATTATTGCATACGTGAGAATTGCCCCAAACACATACGTTCCGAGTTCTGATCCACAAGTTATCGGAACGTGTGGTAGAAGCGACCGAAGGGATTGGGTGCACTGTGTGGATCGGTGTCTCGACGTGCATATATTCCATTCGAATGCTCATTTGCTCCTGAGAAGAAATGTACAGGCATTTGGCCCAACGAAAGCAACTCTTGTTTATCCTTTATTTGACAATGAGGATTGTGGAAAAGATTGAAAAGACAATTCTTTTGCGAGATTGCACGGAAGGAATGAGGAAAAGTGTGTGGACACAGTTTCGCCATTTGGATAGGTGAAAAAATTTCATCCAACTAACTTTTCTCGAATCTGAAGCTTTCTACGCCCAAGCTGATGGTGCACAATCTGGCCGGTCTTATCTGTCAATGACCTTGCCTCTGAACGGAATTGCGGGGAACCTGAAATGGAGAAGATGAGGAAGCTCCGGGGGGAACCCAGTGTGGAGGCTCCGAAGCTCAAGTTAGAATCCTTCAAAGGCAAGATAAAACCAAATAGCACAAAGTTTGCATACCTTGTTCTTGGGGGTAGGGAGCCTTTTATAGCCACCTCGTGCACTCACTCCTAAGCTTCTGTTAGGTCGGGTACGATTACCTCTGGTCTCCGGCCAGTTCGGGTGTCATCCCCTCTGCTGGTCAGAACCGCCACTGCTCCCTTTTGTCGAAGTCGTCTCTGCGACTGGCGATGACAGTGGCAGGTGGCGGTGGTAGGTGACCGTTGAAGTGCGGCTGTCAAGCGCCAAATCCCAAGTCAGTCAGATGCGCCGCCCTTGGATACGGACCTCCTCGGTATCAGGTATGGTACGTTTGTTCAGTTCGGCGTCTCGGAGGCGAAGTGCTGGAGTGGCGAATGAGGTGAAGTCTTGAGTTCGGATAGAGGAGTGTCCCGAACTGCCATGAGGCGGGCCAGTTCGGGTCACTGCCTTGTGTGGCTCGGGGGCTAAGGGAGAGTTCGGGCTCCTCGTAGGGAGTTCGGGCTCCTTATAGGGAGTTCGGGCTCTTAGTAGGGAGGTCGGGCTCCTCTTAGGGAGTTCAGGCTCCTAGTAGGGAGTTTGG